GCCTGCCCTAGGTAATGTAAGTAGTACTGATAAGATATTTGTCGATGCCTGCCCTAGGTAATGTAAGTAGTACTAATAAGATATTTGTCGATGCCTGCCCTAGGTAATGTAAGTAGTACTGATAAGATATTTGTCGATGCCTGCCCTAGGTAGTGTAAGTAGTACTGATAAGATCTTTGTCGATGCCTGCCCTAGCTAATGTAAGTAGTACTGGTAAGATATTTGTCGATGCCTGCCCTATGTAGTGTAAGTGGTACTGATAAGATATTTGTCGATGCCTGCCCTAGGTAATGTAAGTAGTACTCTATTATTATTTGGATCTATCATCACACACAAATTCTCTTAAAAGCTAGTTATTACAGACTAGGTAAAGTACAGCTTTGGTGAATATGATCAAAACATAACTAGGAGTTAATGAATAGTCCAGACAGCTAATGTTTACAGAAAGCAAAAATGAGTTAATATTAATTTCTGAAACATTATTTTATTATATTGACTACTATCCTGCTAATCATCACTGATAACTTGTATTAAACATTTGTTGCTTAAAGAAAGTGACTGTTTACAAACTGATTATACATTGATTAGAAAACTAAATTTCAATAAATTCTACCAAACTCCAAGTCTTTGTGGGCACTTGAATACAGAAAAATGCAAGACATTGACAATAATTAATGGTATAATTACTTCACAGCATGAAGTTTAAAAAAAAAACTGCAAAAAAATTCAGGGCAATTTTTAATCAATTTGAGTAAAATTATGACAATCCTTCTTCCCCAATAAAAATATCTTTCACAGTACATTAGCCAAAAAAATTGCCTCCTAAACCAAAAAAGTGTAAATTTAGATGTTGAATTAAAATAAATAATTCATATTCAAAACATAGAAGGCATGAAGTTTAAAAAAAAACTGCAAAAAAATTCAGGGCAATTTTTAATCAATTTGAGTAAAATTATGACAATCTTTCTTCCCCAATAAAAATATCTTTCACAGTACATTAGCAAAAAAATTGCCTGCTAAACCAAAAAGTGTAAATTTAGATGTTGAATTAAAATAAATAATGCATATTTAAAACATAGAAAGCATACCGGTGCAAATACCTTATCTGGTGGTTGCAAAATTTTACTTTGCAAGGAAAGGATCCTATTGAATATTATCTGGAATAATGTGTACTGAGCCTTTGAATTAACAAACTCTACTGGCACATTTTTTCACTATAATACTGCCCATTCAAAATCCTTTGTCAATTTGTAAATACCTGATAATTAAGTCTTTTAATATGACAAAACATTTCATAAAACATAAAGAGAAACATTAATTCTTATATGTTTACTCAATGTAACTTTAGCAGCATATCTAAAAGATAGATACTCCTATGTTATACATAATATAGCTAATTTATGTAACTTTAACTACACAATCTTAAATTTTCTACTTACAATAATAAATTCATGCTGCATTCTTTTAAAAATATATTAGTTATTGTTTTCTATGGAAATTTGATTTCTCTTGCAGCATCTTCACTTCTTAAGTCTTAAAGAAAACAAAAAGTCTAACATATTGATTTCAAAACTATAATAATGATGACATATTTATTGAAGAAAGAAATCAAGGCAGCATTAATATGCAATGAAAGTCACTATTCCTGAACTGAACCTGTCCATAAAAGTTTACCAAGCATCTCTAACTATAATTCATTTCTAATTAACTACTCCAAGAAGCTACTTAGTCGGTGCAAACATTACTATGAACACTTGGACCTATCTTAATTTATGTATCTATACATATGAACAGTGCAAGTCAAACATTTTTGTATAACAATACCCAAGGTTTTCTTTACTTGTCAAATCCATTGGGAATAACTTATAAGATAACAAAATATCTTATATACCCTTTCTATAATAAGCTTCAACTCTCCATATTACTTTAGACTTAATATTTCAATGAGCATACTACTTTGGTTTACGTACAGAGGTCACACTTGTGGCACCAATAGGTAATACAGTCATCTTTTCATAATATTTAAGAATATATTAGAATTGCTGTACACATCATTTCACATACTGACTTATCAGAACTACTTACATTACCTAGGGCAGGCATCGACAAATATCTTATTGACATCTATTAGGTAACTGTTAGTGAGACACAGCTTTAAGCATATTCTTGTATAACTTAACATTTAAGGGACAACAAAGAACCTGTTCTTCCAATATACTTCAAGAAAAAAAAAGCTACCCACAACCTCTTAAAATATCTTATCTATATTAATATTAAACCACTTATAACCTGGATTTCAATGTTCTTCAAATCTAACCAATTGTAAATTAGGTAATTCCAAGAACTCAGTTGCTAGTATGAATGACTGAAATAATATAATGCACCATATAAAACTGTGGAGTAAAAGCTTTTTGAACAGTAGCAGCCAATGAGAGAAGAAATATAGTTTAAATGCTTTTTTGCACTTTTCCTATCTGAAATATTTTGGAAGAATGAAGTGCTTAGAAATTAAAATGAACAAAGTTATTAATTTTTTTTAAGAATAATTCTTAAAATTTTACGTGCTTTACAAGTAATTAATCAATACTCGGTATTATGTAGAGGACTTGGAAATTGACCACTCTAAGCACTGCAACTGAACAAACTATCTTAAATTATTTGCTTTTGTGAGACTATTAATCAACTAGTATTCAGCAAATTAAGACATAACAAGCTTCCCAACAAGTTTTTACAAAGAGGTCAGTTTCAACAACAAAACATTTAGATTCAGCCAGAATGAAGGAATGTACTTAAGAATGTCATGTTGTTGTTTTTTGAGAAAGCATAACAAAAGAACCCACACAAGTTTCAATTCTTTTCGAGTAGTGAAAACAGTCTAGATAAAAATATTTTGCTGTACACATATCCAAATATGAAAGAAAGTGAAATTATATTATGGTGTTTTGTTTATAAAGATACATGGGGATGTGCATTGTCATGGAGAGAAAAAAGCCTTTCCAATTGATAAGAGAAGGGTGTTTCTGAAGAAGGGCTTGATTTTTAAATGTTCCACTTGCAGACTACAGATCTCTGCATTCACAGATTGCTGTGGATTGAAGTTGGCAGAGAATTACTCTTTTGTCCCACTAAATGCAAAGCATTACTTTCTAAAGATGGACTCTAGGTTATGGGGTTGGAAGTAGTTTTTGTCATTTAATATTCACAGAGAATCCATTTTTCATCACGGGTGTCAACTGTGTCTAAAAATGGTTCACGTGCATTACGTGCCAGAAGAAGGGGGCATTTATAGTTTACCACAATGAACATTTATGTTTGTTAATAAAAAATACAAATAACTGAAGAAAAGGGAAGAACATTAATGTCAAATGAATAAACATCCTCATTCATCCAGATGTCTTTTGTGAAATCTGTCTTTTAGTCCCAAAACTACATGTTTTGGTCTCTTATGTATTGTTTTGTGAAAAATCTGTAGGTGATGGAGAAAAATGGATATCATTCTCAGATTTAGCAAATGGGAATTACTGAAGAATATGTGAAAATTTCAAAACAAAACCAAAGTGTTATATTTAATAAACTTGTAGAGGGTCATACATCTTAAATCATTGTCATTTTTCTGCTTTATTTCACCTGTAAAATCCATCAGAAAATCACAAAATACATTTTTCCAAATTAACTTTATTGAAACTTTTGTTTACAAGTACATAATTAATTACTTTGCATATAGGTGATATTTATATATTCAATAAAGATGTATGTTTTAGGAACAATTAGGACAACACATGATTAT